TGAAACCAGGGGCTGTGCTCACGTGTGCCTGGCTTCAAACCCAGAGCCGATGTGTGGTGGTCCCAGAGGTTAGCTCCCCGAAAGCAATCTGACCTCCCTCATTTCTGGATTTTGGGGTACTGCGGGTGGGGTCATGCCCCTCAGGCACCACCAGCGCACTGGCCGCCAGCTGTGGCTCCCGCTTTCCTGGAGAGAATGACAAAGACCTCCCTAATCCAGAGAAACCACGGAGAGCCTTTGCGCTTGTGCGTAGAGTGTCGGAGGGAACGTTGGTTAAATGCTGGAGGGGCACCAAGAACAGGCTGCTCCTCGGCACCATCGAGTCATTTGCAGTTTGGATTAATTAGAACATGTCAACCTGCTCTTGGACTTATTTTAAGCCTTAAGACAACCATGCCTGCCAACAGCCCGCTTATCCTGGTCAAAGCACCAAACTACAAGTTGACGGCTGTTATCAGCGGCTGTTGTGAGGACAGAGACAGTAGCATCTGGGCTTGCAGCCAGCCTCCAACATCTCTGTCCTCGGAGATGCAATTCCCCAGTTACACGTCGTGACACACCTGCTCCCAGAGACTGCCAGGGGGATGCATGGCCTCCGGCCTGTGAACAGCCCTGCGGATGGCAGAGTCTGGGGGCTGGTGAGCTAAAGGCCCCCTTGTCACAAATTGGGCTCGCCTGTTTTCTTTTTCTTTCTTTCTTTCTTTTTTAAATTAATTAATTAATTAATATATTTTTTTCTTTTTGGCTGCGTTGGGTCTTCATTGCTGTGCACGGGCTTTCTCTAGTTGCAGCGAGCGGGGGCTACTCTTCGTTGTGGTGCGCGGGCTTCTCATTGCAGTGGCTTCTGTTGTTGGGGAGCACGGGCTCTAGGCGTGCAGGCTTCAGTAGTTGTGGCGCACGGGCTCAGTAGTTGTGGCTCGCGGGCTCTAGAGCACAGGCTCAGTAGTTGTGGTGCATGGGCTTAGTTGCTCCGCAGCATGTGGGATCTTCCCGGACCAGGGCTCGAACCCAGGTCCCCTGCATTGGCAGGTGAATTCTTAACCACTGCGCCACCAGGGAAGCCCCACGCCTGTTTTTTTGAAGGGAATTACTCTGACACTGGTCATTATGAAAGGTCACTGAGATTATTTTATCCAGGGCAGCCGCCTTAAACTGGACTCCTTACTTTCCTGGCGGGAAAAGGTGAGCGTTTGGCTTGAACCCTGCCATGAAAGTCGAGGGGCTGGACCCAAGCAGGCCTGAGGTGGAGTTGCTGGGGGACCTGGGGCAGGTGATTGACCCCCTGAGTCTCAGTTTCCTCATCTCAAAATTGGGCCAGTAGTAGCTGCTCGCAGGGTCACTGTGAGGAGCGGTCACTGGGGAAGGTAGGATGCTTTGCACGATGCCCAGCGTGTAGCGGGCACTGGGTGAATGCTGGCTTGTCAGTTAGTACACTCAGAGCTCATGCTGACTGTCCACAAGGCGCTGGCGATCACGGGCACCGACAGATGTGGGTGCACAGTGCCCAGGGCGCAGGAGATGCTGACCCGTGAGAACAGATGAGACCCTTTACTCATCCCATCGCAGAGATGTTCCATGGCTGCCGGCTTTCGTCCTTTGGGTGCTTCCAGAATACCGGGCATTCTGCTGAGAACTTTGCATTTAATCCTGGCAACGTCCCATGGAGTAGGTGCTAGGACCCTCCCCATTTTACAGGCGGGGAAACTGAGGCTGGGAACAGTTTAGTAGCCGGACCGAGATCGCCGCGTTCGGAGGCGATGGCGCCAGCACCGACCCAGAGCGCACCCCCGACCACCTGCAGAAACGGGGCACTGTTCTCCGGTTTTTCAGCAGAGACGCTGGCACTCGGCTAGTGGCTGTCTTTGCCCATCCATCTAATTTTAGAGACGTCGTTCCAGAGAGTCTTCTGTCCCTGACTTGAAAGATGCTCAAGATGTACAAGTCTGACGCCCGAGCTTGTACTCAAGCAGCTCCTATACAGTTGATGCTGTTTCTCTCCTGAAATGTGTTTGAAGGAGGGAGGCTGAGGGCATCACAGTGCCCGGTTCCGGGTGCACCACCGACCGGCCGCAGGGCGCCACTGCAGCCCAGCCTGTGGCACCAGGGCTCCTCTGGCCACGCCTCCCCTCCCTCTTCGCTTCCCCCCTGAGATGCTCGAGCTGTGCTTTCCTCCTTATCTGCGTCTGCAGGTCACAGAGCTGGCGAGGGGCAGCAGCCTGCGAGGTTTGCTGTGAGTTTGCTTGGTCCCAGCTCAGGGTAGCCCCCGCCCGCTTACGTACGACCAGGTGTCAGCCTGCAGTCGGAAGGAGAGTCCCCACCGAGAGGAACATTCCTCCCTGCAGGCCCGATTCCAAAGCTGACCTCCGTCCACATTCTCTTCCTTCAACGGGCAGCTGTCTTTGGGAAGCAGACAGGAGGGAGTCCCCCTGCGAGAGGCTGCTTCTTGGAGAATTCTGGGGGCAGCTGGATGCGGGGAGAGCGTGGGGCCCTGGTCCCTGGGCTCCAGGCCTGCCCTGAGGGTGACCCTGGGAAAGTCTTCACCTGCCGGAGGCGGGGGCGATGCTCGTGCCCGGCCCCCTCCCTTTCCCTGCTCTCTGTTGGTGGCCACAGTTGGGAGTGGTTTTTCTACGAGGTTATTTTTGGCGGGGTCTGCCCGACACCCAGCTTGTGGTGGGGTTTTGCCTCGTGCAGTTGGTGTCGCTCTTTCTGGAGACCTTGTGTGGTGTCTACACATCAGAGTCCTCAGTTGCTTGAGCTGGGAGGGACCACCAGGACCACCTAGCTAGGAATCCTTGCTTTGTTATTACATGAAGGAGAGCCCAGTCCCTGAAAAGTTACGTGGTGTGTGGTCACCACCATCATTGTCATCACCGTCTGACTGCACTTTATGAGGCCATCCTGCCAGCACTGCTCATTTCACAGGTGGGACAGCTGAGGCTCTGAGAGGCTGATCCACTTGCTCGAGGTCACACAGCAAACGCACTAGTCAGTGCATTCTGGCGGTTCCAGGTGTCTGCTGGCCAGGGCTCCCACCTCCCCGTCCAGCATGATACACAGTGCCAGACAGGAGTGGCACAAAGATCGCACTGCTGGTGTTTCAAGCTTCTGTAATTTCCGCAGATGACGTTTTGTCCTCAAGGCACGGGTTTGGGCATCAGACCTGGCTTCGAATCCTGGCTCCCGTGCCCGGGATTACTGACAACCTCTTTAGCCTCTCTTAGAAAATTCAAAAACAACACAAAACTACAGAGGTCAGTAGGCTCATGTATCCTCACCCCTCAAAGGAAAACAATCACCCCCTTGTATTCTCAATCACAGAAAATCCAGTAAAGTCTTGTGATTTGAACCCAACAGGGAGGTTTTCTATCCACGTCAGCTTCTTGCCTGCAGAGCGGCTCCTCCACACCCGTGGACTCAGGCTTCATGATTTACTCTGATTTTTTATACTTGCGGGGGGATGAGATACTTCTCTGTATATTTTTCAAGTGAGATATAATTTGTGGGTGTTCAGGAGAATAAAGCCATAGAGCCTCATGACGAGATGCCCGTAACGACGTTCTAGACCAACGCTTTCAAGTGAAGACAGACAGTGAGAAGCTTCATGACTTGATCGAGGGCAGAATAATGGGCTGAATCTGTTTTTCCAGTTTATAGTTCAGTGCTTTCTGCTACCAGTACCTTCAATGGCAAAAACAAAGCAGAAGCACCCCTACCAGTCGTATTTGACACTTTCAGCGGCATCCATCACGTCACTAAGTGTCGTCCCTGCTTTTGCCGCATGGAGGAGCTGACGCAAGCAATGCCCACCCCTCCCCCCACCCCGGGAACTCACGCCGCCGCTGTGCCAGTGTCCTCCAGACCTGTCCGAGGATCCCAGTGTCACACTACGCTCACCTCGGATACAAGCGGATGTCCAACCGTTACCATTACGTTTGTAGCACTTGGTGGTGGAAATCTGTTAGCAAAGTGCAGCTGAAGACCGGAAGACAGGCTAAACCGTGTGCATCAAGGCCCCCCGGGAGCGCATTCAAATGCAGGCTCCCAGCCGTGGCCCTGGACCTCTTGGGACAGCGCCCATAATCCCACAGTTCAGAGCAGATGCCGCCATGACAGGTGCTCAGGGATGATGAGCCTGTGTGCATCACGCTAACAGCTCTTGGGGATGCCTCACCAGGAATGCAGGGTGACTTAGAAAGTGGTCATACAGTGAGGCTAGACCGAGCAGGGGCTGCCTGGAGATCAGCCCTGGTGGAAAACGTTACACCTTATTATTATTTTTTAATATTTATATATTTTTAAAATTTGGTTGCACCAGGTCTTTTCTGCAGCAGGTGGGCTACTTAGTTGCAGCATGCAGCCTCCTTAGTTGTGGCATGTGAACTCTTAGTTGCGGCATGCATGTGGGATCTAGTTCCCTGACCAGGGATTGAACCCGGGCCCCCCTGCATTGGGAGCGCGGAGTCTTAACCGCTGCGCCACCAGGGAAGTCCCCAAAATGTACTACTTTATATCTCAGAATCTGTTTATTTAAACAACTTGCTCATTACCTATTAGCTTATGAAATTATTTGGTGATAGAATTTTATCTGCTCTTCTGTCATTTGAAAGACATCTCTTTTTTCTTTTCTTTCTTTCTTTTTTTTTTTTTTAATTAAAGGAAGGTCTGGAAATCTTACAGGACCCGCATGGCACGCATCTCCGAAATGGTTTTGCTTTGCCTTCTTGCCGCCCGCAATTGGCTGAGGCCCCCTACTGCCACCAGGTGGCGGCACTGGCATCCGCCTCACTCGGGTGTTTCCTGTGCGCTGCCGGGGGCCCGCCGGGGCCAGGTGATGGGGTCAGGTGACAGGGCAGACAGGGTCCCACGTTTCAGTTTGTGGTTTCAGCAGGATATCAGTCTCTTGAGAGCAAAACCGAGTAACCCCAATGTAGCCAGTGTCACAGCAACCCCACAGCCGCGCAGCCAGACTGACACGCCATTTCCACTGCTTCACCTTCCAGGAATTAGCGGTGGCCCCTTGGAAAACCACTACAGACTAAAGCAGTTCCACTTCCACTGGGGAGCAGTGAACGAGTGGGGCTCAGAGCACACGGTGGACGATCACGTGTACCCAGCAGAGGTTCGTAGCAGCTAATGTGTGGGGACTTCCCGCGTGCCGGGTTCCACGTCAGGTGATCAAGCATCCCGGTTGCTCAGCATGGATTTCCTGGGACACGGGACCCTTAGTGCTCAAACCAGAACCACTGGCCACCCCACGCACTCAACCTCACGACTCTCCTAAGGGGAGGATACTGTGAGCACTTTCAGTGAACAGGAGAAGAGACAGGTTCTGAGTGGTATTGTAACTTGCCGAAGTCAGGCAGCTGGGATTCAGGAGCAGCGTCTGTGCCCTCAGCTCTCGCTCAGCCACGCGCTTGCGGCTGGTCGATGGGAGGCGAGAAGCTTCCTGTCCTTCGAGGCATTCAAGATCTTATACTGAGAACAGAAAATCTTTACAATAGAAATTATCTTAAAACAAGGTGATATTTGCAACATTTCAAAGTGGGAGTCAGTAAAGAAAAGGAGTAGAGATAAAGGTCAGGAATTGGATTTGGGTGGTTATGGAGTGGTAAGTAGTGCCTCACTGGTGTCCCCCAATATTTTATTATGAAATGTTTCCAACTTACAAAAAAAATGAAAGAACTGTATAGTGAGAACCCGTGAGGTTACCACCCAGATCCTGTGATTGACGTGTGCCAAATTCACTGTGTTGCACCTCTGTCCACCAGCCCTCCCTCTGTCCACCCACCAGCCACCTGGATTTTAGAGGTATTTCAAGTTCTGGACTGTTCTTGTCACCATTGTTACGGAAGTAATACTATGGTTAAAATAGACCGACAGTCCAGTCAAACCAGAAAGTGAAAATCACTGCGATCACACAGCCAGAGGTGGCCTCTGGGGACAGTTGATAATTAGGGAGTTCCATTGATTGTTATAATTACACACATTTTGACAAATATGACAAAAATGAAGGAACAGCGGCTTGCAACACATTTACTTTCAGTAAACCTCATTCCTCTTAGTAACTGTGCACCTGTACCTCGGTTTCTAGTGAGCAGCTCTTTCAATAGAGGAGTCTGCTGCAGTTCGCTTGTTTAGGAGAGGGGGCAGAGCTTGGGACCCACCAGGGGCTGTCCGTGAGCCAGGTGGGCGGGGGCTGCCCGACTGTCCCGGCCGTGCCTCCGGCCCATGTTGGAGCGGGCCTTTTCCTGTGGGGTTTGGGAGGCCAGGCCAGCCCCACAGGTGGGGGTCCATGAAAGAGGAAGGCTGTGGGCGGGACCTCAGGCCCAGCTGTCCCTATTTCTGGAAGACCACGCGTGACAGTGGGTGGGGGGTTGAGGTGAGCTACGGGAGGGCAGGGGGAGGCCACGCCACACTCACGGTCCCTGGTGTGCGTGGCCAGGAGCACTGAGACTTGTTGACAGTGAGGTGCCACCTGGAGACATGTGGACCCTGCCCCCCTGGCAGGGCTGCCCGGGCCCTGGAGTCCAGCAGCCGCATGGGGGAGGGTCTTGCTGACCACGAGAGGCTGGAGGACTTTCTGGGCCGAGTCCTTGTGGACTCATGGCCTGGGTCACCGTTCAGAAAGGCCTCCACCACCATGCATGCTGGAGCAGGACCCTTCCTGGTTCTGAGCCAAACGCAGCATCGGCCCACGCGCCCTCACACAGAACCCAGGGGTCCTGGTTCTGCCTCTTACTCACCAGGGTCCAGGAAAGCCCATTCCCCCAGCCTGTTTCCCCGCTGATTTAAATCCTTGTCATCTGGTCAGTAGTGATGCTGACTTGGGACTTAGGAAAACCAACGGAGGGTGTGTGAAGAAAGGACATAGGTGAAGTTCAGAGGAGGGTGACAGATGTAGAAAAATGCCATTTGGGGGGCGTGCTTAGGTTCAAAATGATCCGTTGTCTATCTGAAACTCGGATTTAACTGAGAGTCCTGTATCTGATCTGGCAACCCTCATTCAAGGCTATCTGAGCAGTAGCAAACAATCCAACCACCCATTTCTGTTTGACAAAGTTAAAGCGAGCCTCCCTTCTCTCCCCCTAGAAATGCCGAGGCCCTGCTTTCTGGGGTTCGAGCGAGCTTTGGCTGGGGGAACCGGCCTGCGGCCGTGGGTGGATTCATTAAAAGCATAAATCGGGCACACGTCAGCCACACAGAGGGAGGAGCGGCGGGTTAAGCTCTCTCGGCTACGCGGTGATGGAGGGAATTTTCTTCTGGGTTCCAGCTGCATCTAGTTCACTGGAACGCCGTGAAATACCAAAACTACACAGAAGCCGTGATGGGAGAGGACGGCTTGGCGGTGGTAGGCGTGTTTTTAAAGGTAAGCCTGCTGGGGTGCAGCTCTCCTGGTCAGATCTGCTCTCTAAACACGGTCGGCTTAGAGTGACGTGTGCTTGTCACCCTGTCCCCTGCCCCGTCACGTGACGGCTCGGCGTGCCGCGCTGTGCAGCTGGGGGCCCGCCATGAGGCACTGCAGAAGCTGGTGGCAGTCTTGCCGGACATAAAGCACAAGGTAAGCTACGTATTTTGAAATCAACGTAATTGGAAAAGCGACATTGCTTAGAGTGGTGACTACTTTGCCAAAAAAATAACCAAAAAAAGGAAGCAGTTGGGTGGAAAGAGCGTTACAGAGAGGGTCTGAGTGCAGTCCTGGAACTGGGACTCCCTGGAGCTGATTCCAGCTGTGTCTCGAGTCGGCTCACCGACTTCGAGGTGTTCCTGCAATTCTCGGGCCCTCCCTCCTCAGCGTAATGGGGTTTCCCAACATTCAGCCATTCAGGCAGCATCTTGGAGGTTTTTGCCTGTCTACCCACCTGTGGTACTATTAGTTACTTAGTACTTTTGATGAAAGTGATCCACTTTTTAAAAATCTTTAGCCTTGTCCCAGGCAACAGCATCCGTTTGCGATAATGTTTGTTTTAAAACCAATTGAAATGCGGACTTCCCTGGTGGCACAGTGGCTAAGAATCCACCTGCCAATGCAGGGGACACGGGTTCGAGCCCCGGTCCGGGAAGATGCCACGGGGCAACTAAGCCCGTGCGCCACAACTACCGAGCCTGCGCTCTAGAGCCCACGAGCCACAGCTACTGATCCCGTGTGCTGTAACTACTGAAGCCCACGTGCCTACAGCCTGTGCTCCACAAGAGAAGCCACCGCAATGAGAAGGCCGTGCACCGTGACGAAGCGTAGCCCCCGCTCGCCGCAACTAGAGAAAGCCCGCGCGCAGCAACGAAGAACCAACGCAGCCAAAAATAAATAAATAAATATTTAAAAAATAATAAAAAAAATAAAACCAATTGAAATAAATTCTCAACTATCGACATTTAAGAATGTCCACCTGCAAGCCACCTGGTATCCTTAGGGTCAGCCCCATCCTGGGAGAACAGGGAGACGGGGCAAGGGGTCCTGCAGACGCACCCATCCTGCCCAGCTCCCCTGCACACCTGGCTGCACTCAGCATAGCTCCGAAAGACAGCAAGGCCAGCAAGGTAGCTTTTCTCCAGTATCAGCTGAGAGAGGGCTTTGATGGAGAAATGGAAATTCCTGAAAACTGCAGTTTATTTGTTCAGCACCAAACAAAAGAATTCCGAGGGCAGGAGTCACCCGTGGTCCTTGGACGTGGGGACGGGTGGGTCTCCGACCTGTCTTAACAATGGCGAGAGCGGCTCCAGATGGGAGATGGGGGCCAGCCCTTCCTCGGCAGCTTCACAGGGGCTGTTTGATCTGTGTGGCACCCGCCCCTTGATGTTGACCTCCTGGGACCAGACCAGATCACCCCCCCACCCCGGTTGCCCCGTCTGCCAGCTCAGGAACTCAGCAAGGTCTAGGTGCCGGGAGCATTCATCTCCTCCCTGGTCCACAGCCAGAGTAAACCTGGACGTTTCCCTGGTGGCAGCCACCCCCTCAGGGCGTGGTCTCCACCGCTTGGTGGGAAAGAAAGAGCTGCTATGAGGTGCTATGTGCTAAGGGGTCTGTTTGCTTCCCCGAAGGCTCTGGGCAAACTTGCAGGAGGAACGGTGTTGGCAGGGGATGGAGGAAGCTGCTGGGCCCAGTTCTGGTCCTGATGCTGCTCCCTGGGCCTCAGTTTCCTCACCAGAAGAATAAGAGTTAGAATCTTAAGAGAGTAAGCTCCCGCCTCAGAGGGCAGGGATCTGTGTCCCGTGGGTCGGAAGGGTGATCGGCTCAAGTCATTTGTCACAGTCTTTGCTCCTTCCTGGGTTCCCTCAATGTCTGGGTTGATTTTTTAAATTTTCAGCCTTAGGAGGCACCTCTGTGGTGTCCAGCTCTGTGGGATGGGACAGACATCCCGTAGCATCTGGGTTTGCTGCCATCTAATCACGTGGCTTTCGGAAGTTCTTATCTTTCTTTCTTTATCATGAAACAGACGTAAAGGCTGGTTCTGAAAATCCAAGGTGAGAGCCTCAGAGGACGTCTGGCACGTCAGTGCCTATGGGGCTGGGGTCTGGGGGCAGGAGGGGCATTTATCTGTCGCCGCACACCCGCAGGTACTTCCTGCATCTTGTCCCATGTGCGTATGTGACCTGTGTCCTTCAAGAATTGAGTAGACCACACAGTGGAATATTACTCAGCCATAAAAAGGAATGAAGCTCTGACACCTGCTACAACAGAGACGGCTTTTGAAGGCATCATTCTGAGAGAAAGAAGCCAGGCGCAGAATTCTCTGTATTATATGATTCCATTTCTAGGAAACGTCCAGAATGTGCAGATGGGTGGGGCCTGTGGCAGGGTGAGGGCAGGTGGGCGGGTTAGGGGGAATGACGGCTAAAGAGTGTTTACTGGGCTCTCTTCTCTGGAGTTCTGTTTTGAGGTCACGAACATGTTCTAGAAGCGACAGTGCTGAGGGTTTGCGTGTCCGTCTGTGAATGTACGAACAGCCGTAGCACCGTGCACTTTAGGTGGGCGGGCGCTGCGCTTCGGGAGGCGTGTTTCAGTCATGCCGTTTTAAGCCGTCAACTAGACACTGGTTACAAGGTGGAGCCCGGCACAAGGTGCTTGGCGACCATCTAGCAGAGAGTCAGTTTACCCCCTTCCAGCTGCCAGAAGATTAAACACCACCTCCCCGTGGCTGAGTGGTGAGTCAGTGACCGGGGACAAGCCGTCAGTGGCTCCTTGCTTTTGCCTTTGAGTGCCGGGGGGAGGGGCACCCAGCAGCAGGGAGCCTCCTTCCTCGGGAACCCGAGAACAGGTGCCTCGTGCTGACTGTCTCCCAGCTTGCCCCGCATGCGGCTGGGCCCCTGGTTCAGGCTCCGGTCTGGCTGGGCACTGGTTGGTGTCCTGCTTCTCCCAGGGCTGCCCCGTCAGCCTTTCGGCTCGCTCACTTCATGGGGGGCCGGGTGGAGACCCCGTCCTGGGCCCGTCAACCCAAGGGACCTCTCTGAGCCTTTCCCCTCTGAGCAGAAGCTGTCCAGGAGCTTTGCTTCCAACGAGGCAGAGACCAGCCAAGAGGCCCTGCTTTCTGTCCACAGCATCCAGAGAGCAGCCCCCCAGCCCCTGCCTCTGCCGGTGCGTTTCTTCGGGGGTCCCCAGCCCTGGGCAGAAGCAGGGTGTCCCCCCCTCCCCCCTCCCATCTCTCTCTTTTTTTAAAAAAATAAATTTATTTATTTATTATTTATTTTTTGGCTGTGTTGGGTCTTTGTTGCTGTGCCTGGGTTTTCTCTAGTTGTGGCGAGAGGGGGCTACTCTTCATTCCGGTGCGCGGGCCTCTCATTGCAGTGGCTTCTCTTGTTGTGAGGCATGGGCTCTAGGTGTGCAGGCTTCCGTAGTTGTGGTACATGGGCTCAGTAGTTGTGGCTCACGGGCTCTAGAGAGCAGGCTCAGTAGTTGTGGCGCACGGGCCTAGTTGCTCCGCAGCATGTGGGATCTTCCCGGACCAGGGCTCGAACCCGTGTCTCCTGCATTGGCAGGTGGATTCTCAACCAGTGCGCCACCAGGGAACCCCCCGCATCTCTTTTAATCACTTCTGCGTCTCGTGCTCATTCCAGCCCTGCGGCCTCTCTGCTGATCCCCCAGCCTATCAGGCCAGACCCTGCCTCGGGGCCTTTGCACTGGCCATTGCCTCAAAGAAATCTCCTCCCCTTCACCTCCTCCGTGTCTTTGTTCAGACGTCACCTTCTCAGGGAGGCCTTCAGGGCCACCCCTCCTAAAACACCAGCCTATACTCCCCACATCTCTTACTTCACTGTCCTACCTTATTTTTCCCCATCACATTTATCGCTGTGTAAACTACTAGATGTTCTACTTATTTGTTCCGGGTGCCGTCTGCTCTCCTCCAGTAAAAGTGAGTTCCACGAAAGTGGGTAGTTTGTCTCTCCTGTAGCCCCAGCACCTAAGATAGAGTCGGGTTTACTGTGGGTGCTCAAGAATAGCTCTGAGTGAGTGAGTGATGGTGGGACCCCATCAGGGTCATTAGGAACTGAGAGGCAGGTTTCTCCCTGTGCTTCTCTAGAGCATGGAAACCAAGCAAACATGGATTCTGAACATGAGGCTCCGAAGCAGGACACGTGCTGACGGAGCAGCCTGGAGAGCTGGGCTGACTCAGTCCATCAATCCCACCCCTCGCTGATGAGAAGGAAAATTCTGGCACGAGTCAGGGAATTCGGCCAGTGCAGGGCGTCCCCCTGCGCGTTTGTAATTGCCATGGCTCTCACGCTGGGGAGGTCTGCCAAAGAGAGGATCAGCTGTCTTAAAAGTGTAATGTTTTCTGGTGCAGCCGCTATAGAAAACAGTCTGGTGGTCCCTCAAAAAATCAAACATAGAATTACCATGGGATCCAGCATTTCTACTTCTGGGTATATCCCCCAAATCATTAAAAGCAGGGTCTCGAAGAGATGTTTGTACACCCATGTTCATAGCAGCTTTATTCACAACAGCCAAGAGGTGGAAGCCACCCAAGTGTCCATCGATGGATGATGGATAAACTAAATGTGGTCCATTCACACGGTGGAATATTACTCAGTCTTAAAAAGGGGGGAAATTCTGACATAGGCTACAACATGGATGGACCTTGAGGATATTGTGCTGAGTGAGATACGCCAGTCACAAAAGGACAAATCCTGTATTATTCCATTTATACGAGGTCCCTAGAGGAGTTAGATTCATACAGACAGAAAGTAGAAGGGCGGGTGCTGGGGGCCGGGGGGAGGAGATGGGGAGCTGGTATTTAACGGGGACAGAGTCTCAGTTTGGGAAGATGAGAAGATTCTGGAGACGGATGTGGTGATGGTTGCACAGCAATGTGAAGGTACTTAACACCACTGAACTGTACATTTTTAAATGGTTGAAATGGTAAATTGTATGCTGTGTACGTTATTTGACGTCAGCTTTTAAAAGTGTGATATTTTCACAGCCAAGGTATACAAAAGTGAGTAGCCTTAAAAGAAAAACTACAAGCCTGTGGTGGGCATCCCTGCTCAGCGTGGAAGGGCCACATTCTCTTGTTACGGTTTCCAAATGTGACAACCGCGACCACAGCCTTTATCTCGGAGACATGCTCTTCTCCAGGCCACATCACTGAGATAAAGCCAAGCGTGGTGACCCCTTCCCCGGCCTCCTCCACCCACCTGAGAGCCTGCGGTCTCCTCCCCCAGGACGCGCGGGCGGCCCTGGGCCCCTTCCAGCCCTCCTGCCTGCTGCCCGCCTGCCGGGACTACTGGACGTATCCAGGCTCCCTGACCACGCCTCCGCTCGCTGAGTCGGTCACCTGGATCATCCACAAGAAGCCCACTGAGGTGGCTCAGGACCAGGTGAGTGGCGCCTGTATCCAGCGCACAGAACTGCACGGGAATCCCTCCGGTTTGGTGGCTTCACCAAGATAGTGTGAACAAGCATCCTAGAGTTTCGTGCTTTGGTACCTTATAGATGTTCCTGCACAAGGAGAATCTTCCAGTTGAAACAGGAGCTCTTGGGGAGTGAGCAGAAGTTCCCCATATCACAGGTCTTCTTCTGACCTTGAGATATTGGTGGTGAGAGGGAGACAGAGACAGAGAGAAACAGGGAGACAGAGACAGAGAGAATCAGAGAGACAGAGATAGAAAGAGACAGAGGCACAGAGAGACAGGGAGGGAAGGCGGGGTGAAGGGAGGGAACTGAGGCGGGACAGTTATGTTCAGCACCTTCTAATCTTAGTGGTCAGCCTCAGGCATGGAGAGTCTCCCCGATGAAAAATGCTTGGACGAGGCCAGTACTTGCTCTTTGGTCTTCGTTGGGGTAAAGCGACTTTAAAGAACAGAAGTGACATAATTGGGACATGGGTCCTTGCCCATATTGGGACCTCCGTGGGTGTTTTAGATGAATAAATTAACAAGAAAGGGATGTCATAGATGAATGCTGGAGAGCCGTGAAAGAAGTGGGGTCACTGAGGGAGAAGAGAAGCTTTTAGAGCCTGTTCTCCTTCTTTGGCTGATAGAGCAGTAGGAAATCAAGACCGCAGAGGGTTTTCTCTCATGCTGTGCTAAGAAGTTATGGAACTATAAGTGCCCAGAGAAAATTCCAGAAGGATTGTATTAGTCAGCTATTGCTACAAAATGCTGTGTAACAAACCACCCCAAAACTCAATGACTAATAATAAGCATTTATTTTCCTGCTCAAGGGTCCCTGGGAGCTGGGAGAATCTGTTTTAGGCCATCGTTAGGGGTTGGGTTGGGTCCAGTGTCTCTCATGCTTCTTGGACCAGTGGCCACCCAGGGCTGGATTTCATGGCTCGTGACAGAAATGCAAAAGACAAGCCAAACTGCACATGCACGTTTACAGCATCTGCTTGCATCACACCCGCTCACATCCTGTTGGTCAAAGCAAGTTATGATGGCCAGGCCAACGCCAGTGGGGCAGGGAGGAGGTGAGTGTCTATTTGCTGAGCAATGCCCTAAGCTGTCACACAGATGTGCACCTAAAAGTTAATCCTGGTTGTCCTATGGTCACAGATCTGCAGTGGTTCTTATTTTCTTTCTCATCCTTATTTAAATATTCTATTTTTTCTAAAATAAGTAGATATTACTTATATACTTTTTAAAAAGTTAAAGTATCTTTTTCTCTGGAAATCTCCAGAATCTAGAGAAAGTCTGTCTAGGGCACAGTTTAGGGATGACAGATATGCAGCAAGCATGCTCCACTGTCCCATCCTCTGCCCGGGACAGACATTTCTAATCGATCACAGCAGCATTCATCACCTCACCTTCAGCTCTATGTTTTCTGAGGGCTCTTGATGAGTCCTTGGAAGTCCTTCCAGCCTTTCAGTTCTGTGAAACAGCCTCTAATTTTATTTTATTTTATTTTTTAAAATGAATTTCTCTGTTTTATTTATTTATTTTTGGCTGCATTGGGTCCTTGTTGCTGCGCGCGGGCTTTCTTTAGTTGCGGTGAGTGGGGCTACTCTTTGTTGCGGTGCACGGGCTTCTCATTACAGTGGCTTCTCTTGTTGCAGGGCATGGGCTCTAGGCGTGTGGGCCTCAGTAGTTGTGGCACGCAGGCTCAGTAGTTGTGGCGCACGGGCCTAGCTGCTCCACAGCATGTGGGATCCTCCCAGACCAGGGCTCAAACCTGTGTCCCCTGCATTGGCAGGCAGATTTCCAACCACTGTGCCACCAGGGAAGTCCACAGCCTCTAATTTTAAAGTCATGGGATGGGGCTTCCCTAGTGGCACAGTGGTTAAGAATCCGCCTGCCAATGCCGGGGACATGGGTTAGAGCCCTGGTCTGGGATGATCCCACATGCCATGGAGCAGCTAGGCCCGTGCGCCACAGCTCCTGAGCCTGCACTCTAGAGCCTGCGAGCCACAACTACTGAAGCCCATGCGCCTAGAGCCTGTGCTCCACAACAAGAGAAACCACCACAATGAGAAGCCCACGCACCTCAACTAGAGAAAACCTGCGTGCAGCAACGAAGACCCAATGCAGCCAAAAATAAATAAATAAAATAAATAAATTTAAAAAATAAAATAAAGTCATGGGATGATGCTATTTGTTTTGAAAGGCTGAAGGTGGAATGTGGGTGCACATCACCCACCTTTCCCCCAAACCAGAACTGTTACAGACGTGGTTGAAAATGTCCCTTGCTGGGACTTCCCTGGTGGCACAGTGGTTAAGAATCCGCCTGCCAATGCAGGGGACACGGGTTCCAGCCCTGGTCCGGGAAGATCCCACATGCCCCGGAGCAACTACTGAGCCTGCGCTCTACAGCCCGCGAGCCACAACTACTGAGCCCGTTTGCCACAACTTCTGAAGCCCACACGCCTAGAGCTCATGCTCCACCACAAGAGAAGCCACCGCCATGAGAAGCCCACGCACTGCAAGGAAGAGTAGCCCCCACTTACCGCAACTAGAGAAAGCCCGTGTACAACAACGAAGACCCAATGCAGCCAAAAATAAAAATTAATTAATTTTTTAAAAGACTTAAAAAAAACATTAATTTAATAAAAAAAAAGAAAAGAAAATGGCTCTTGTCACCAAGACCCCTCTGTCACTCAACAAACGCATAATAAACACTTATTAGATGTCAGATGTTGTAGCAGGAGAGGGTGGGCGAGCAGGAGGGATGGAGGGGTGACAGAGCAGTGACCATAGTCTCTGTGCACTGCTACCCAGCAGGAAAATAGAAACGTAAGTCAATAGTTTTAAGGCAGAGTGGTGGGTGAGTATTACACCAAAATCCAGAGCAGAGCCCCCAACCCTCCCAGGGGGCTGGGGAGGTAGTGTGTGCACCCCCTGGACGGCAGGGACAGGCCTGCCAAGCAGGCTTTTCTGAGAGTCAACAAGTGGTGAAAACAGGTGCACACGAGTGGGCACACCATGCTTGAGTGTCTGGAAGAGCATGCTCCACACCCTACACAACTCCAGGGGGCTCTGCCTCAACCATGCAGACCTGACTTGCTCAATAGGTGGTCACTATGCAGATATAATCCCAGTTCTGTGTTTAATTAAGCGTGAAAGCTATTCTCACAGAGCACATAGTATATTCTGAGAACAGATGTGATGATACATAAAAAATGGTCTCTTAGTTCCTGGAGTGCAAAGTGAATCAAATGTTACATTAGCATTTATAGTATATAAACTAGTTATCTATTGCTGTGTAACAAATAGCTCCAAAATTTAATGGCTTAGTAAAACAATAATCATTTATTATCTCCCAGGGTTGCTGTGGGTCAGAATTCAGGTGGTTCTGGCTGAGGATATATCTCTTGTGGAGTTGCAGTCAGATGTCAGCTGCAGTTATTTGAAAGCTGGGGCTGGAGGATTCATTCCCAACGTGGCCAGCAAGTTGTACTGGCTGTTGGCTGGGAGCCTCAGTTGCTCTCCATGTGGGCCTCTCCAGAGGGCTGCTTGTGAGTCATTGCAGCACGGCGGCTGCCTTCCCCAGAGCAGGTGGTCCAGGAGGCCAAGGTGGAAGCTGCCATGCCTTTTCTGACCCAGATTGGGGTCACCTCCACCATGTTGCATTGGTCATACAGGGCCATCCCTGATTCAGGGATGCAAGGGGACCACACACGACACAAGGGACATGGGAGCTGGTTCACACCCTAGCTGCAGCCAGATTACTCTGCTTGCTCTCCGTTCCAGCTGGCCGCGTTTCGCTCACTCATGTTTACTGCACTTGGTGAAGAAGAGAAGACGATGGTGAACAACTACCGCCCACTTCAGCCCCTGATGAAGCGGGAGGTCCGTTCATCCTTCCAGCCACTGAAGACGGTGCAGGATCCTAAATTCACTACATCCAAGCTAACGGGTGGACCTGACTTTAACAGGAGAAAGTATTGTTTCCCAGGCTTCGTGTTCTGATCATATGTAACCTCTGAAATTAAAAATGGAGAAAGAGGTCGCAGTTTTAGTCAGTGTACTTTGCAGTTGCAAGGAAAAGAATCACTTCAAAGAAGCTTAAGCAGGAATCCCTCTGTGGTCCAGTGGGTAAGACTCCACGCTCCCAATACAGGGGGCCTGGGTTCGATCCCTGGTCGGGGAACTAGATCCCACATGCATGCTGCACTAAGAGTCTGTCTGCCTGCCACAACTAAAGATCCCACATGCCAAAGCAAAGATCCTGAGTGCCGCAACTAAGACCTGGTGCAGCCAAAATAAATAAATATTTTTTTTTTTAAAAAAAGAAGAAGCTTGGACTTCCCTGGTGGCGCAGTGGTTGGGAGTCCGCCTGCCGATGCAGGGGACGCGGGTTCGTGCCCCAGTCTGGGAAGATCCCACATGCCGCGGAGCGGCTGGGCCTGTGAGCCATGGCCACTGGGCCTGCGTGTCCTGAGCCTGTGCTCCGCAGCGGGAGAGGCCACAGCAGTGAGAGGCCTGAGTACCACAAAAAATAAATAAATAAAAATAAAAAAATAAATAAAAAAAGAAGAAGCTTAAGCGCAATAGGGAATGGAAATCTGGGACACAGACTATCTCAAGGGACCCACAGCAGTGCACAGAACTTAGGGGCCAAGTGAGCTCCACTGACTGGGGTCATCCACCCAGCCCTCTCTCAGGTCCATGGTGTCCTCTCTCCAGACAGCCACGCCCTGGCAACACAGACTGGGACTAACGTCTTTTCTTCCCAATTCCAAATTCCTGGTGTATCAGTGTCCGGGGGCTGCTGTAAAATGACCACAAACTGGGGGTGGGGGGGAAACAGCAGAATGTATCTTCCTTCCCACAGTTCTGAGACTGGAAGTCTGAGACCAGGTGCCAGCACAGCTGGGTTCTGGGAGGGTCTTGGCTTTTTGCTGTGTCCTTGAGTGGCCCTTTTTTGGTGCACAGAGAGAGTTCGCTCCCTTCCCCTTCTTATAAGACCACCAAACCTATTGGATTAGGACCCCACCCTTATGACCTCACTTAACCTTAATTACTTCCTAAAAACCCCATTTCCAAAGACAGCCACAGTGGGGGCTTTGAGCTTCAACATGTGAATTGGGGAGGGGGACACAATTCAGCCCATAACAGCCACAAACTGGGGGGCTTAAAACAACAGAAATTTATTGAATCACAGTCTGGAGGCCAGAAATCCAAATTCAAGGTGTCAGCAGGGCTGCTTCCTTCCGGAGTCACTCTCCAGGGGAGAATCTGTTTCCTTGCCTTTTCCAGCTTCCAGAGGCTTCTGCTTTCTTGGCTGGTGGCCAAGGAGTTTTCCAAAGTGGCTGCTCAGGACATGCTACCATTTAACTGTGGTCATTCTGCGGGGGCGGAGTGTAATGGTTTCTCACTGCGGGGTCTTTTTAATTGTGGTAAAATACACATAACATAAAATTACCATCTTAACCACAGCTCAGTGGTATAAAGTGCATTCACACTGTGTTGATACCATCCACACCATCCGCCTCCAGAACCTTCTCACCTTAAACTGTCCCCATTAAACACTAACACCCCATTTCCTCCCCCCGCCCCCAATCCTTGGCATCTACCATCCTACTTTCTGTCTCTTAAGATTTTGACTGCTCTAGGAACCAGGCAGTATTTGTCTTTTTGTGACGGGCTTATTTCACTGAGCATAATGTCCTCAGGTTTCATCCATGTGCTAGCAGGTGTCAGAATTTCCTCCCCTTTTAAGGCTGAATAATATCCTAATTGATTATGGTATTTTTATTTTCACAGCATTAAACACATTCCCCTCCGGTACAGATGCAGCTCTGCAAACAATCACGTCATCTTCCAACATTACCTGACTGTCAGAAAAACACGGAAAAAACAGCCCAGAAAAGAAAGCAAATACTCATGTGCCTACCAAGGTACAGTGATAAACTCCATTTCTTTTGGGGAGATAAAGAATAAACAGAATTATTATAGTCCACAAAAAAGATCTAAGACCAAAGGGACCCTATATTACGGATGTGGTTTATTTTGACAGAGGTTTATAGTTTTTTTTTTCCAATCACAGAACTTCCTGTCGTATCAACAATTTACTGTCTGGCTTTGGGCTATTCAATGTCCTGGCACCTACTACAGAGAAAGCAATCCGAAACTTCCTTATACACGTTTTTCCTGGAAAAGTACAACTGCTCACCACTGCCCATCAAATGACAATGCTGACCAAACGCAGCACAACAAGCTTTAATGTCGGCTTACATGGGACACAGAGTCAAACAAGAGAGTTTGGGTGCATTGGTGACTGGTTTGAGCACAGCTGCCCCAGCTGGAGCAGAGCACTAGGTGGGTGGGTGACTACAACCGCTGCAGACCCGTGGGATCCAGGAGGGAAAGAGACATTTTAAAGTTGGGTTTGGAGCCCAAATTGTTTCTTGTCTTTTGGGAAAATGTAGCCAGCCTTGAGTCTCAAGTGAAGTGGGCTTTAGCCCATAGGGAGTTGCCTGCAACCGCCAGAACAAAGGGCCACGAATTAGGGCCCTCTTGCCTCCCTCTCATAAGGACCCTCTGAGGATACTGGGCCCCCCAGATGCCAGGATCATTTCCCATCTCGAAATGCTTAACTTAATCATACCTGCAAAGTCCCTTTGCCGTGTGAGGCCACACATCCACAGGTCACGGGATCAGGATGTGGACACTCTCTCTGATGGTGGAATGTTCTAGAACTCCACCGTCCTCCAGGGCAGCCCTTGGACACACATGGCCATTGTGCACTTGAACTGTGTTCAGTGCAATTGAGGGACTGAATTTTCTTTCTTTTTTCTTTTTTTTGAATTTTATTTTCCTTATTTTATTATTTTTTTATACAGCAGGTTCCTATTAGTTCTCTATTTTATACATATTAGTGTATACATGTCAATCCCAATCTCCCAATTCATCATACCACCACCACCCTCCCCCGCTTTCCCCACTTGGTGTCCATACGTTTGTTCTCTACTTCTGTGTCTCTGTTTCTGCCTTGCAAACCGGTTCGTCTGTACCATTTTTGTAGATTCCACATATATGCGTTAATATACGATATTTGTTTTTCTCTTTCTTCACTCTGTATGACAGTCTCTAGGTCCATCCGTGTCCAATTTTGTTGCTTTTAATGGCTGAGTAATATTCCATTGTATATATGTACCACATCTTTTTTATCCATTCCTCTGTTGATGGGCATTTAGGTTGCTTCCATGACCTGGCTATTGTAAATAGTGCTGCAACGAACATTGGGGTGCAAGTGTCTTTTTGAATTATGGTTTTCTCTGGGTATATGCCCAGAGGCGGGATTGCTGGATCATATGGTAATTCTATTTTTAGTTTTTTAAGGAACCTCCATACTGTTCTCCATAGTGGCTGTATCAGTTTACATTCCCACCAGCAGTGCAGGAGGGTTCCCTTTTCTCCACACCCTCTCCAGCATTTGTTGTTTGTAGATTTTCTGATGATGCCCATTCTAACTGGTGTGAGGTGATACCTCATTGTAGTGTTGATTTGCATTTCTCTAATAATTAGAGAAATAATAATTAGTGATGTTGACCAGCTTTTCATGTGCCTCTTGACCATCTGTATGTTTCCTTTGGAGAAATGTTTGTTTAGGTCTTCTGCCCATTTTTAAAAATTAATTAATTGATTGATGGATTGATTGATTTTTGGCTGCATTGGGTCTTGCTGTGCACAGGCTTTTTCTAGTTGTGGCAAGTGGGGGCTACTCTTCGTTGTGGTGCACGGGCTTCTCATAGTGGTGGCTTCTCTTGTTGCAGAGCATGGGCTCTAGGCACATGGGCTCCAGTAGTTGTGGCAAGTGGGCTCAGTAGTTGTGGCTCGTGGGCTCTAGAGCGCAGGCTCAGGAGTCGTGGCACACGGGCTTAGTTGCTCCGTGGCATGTGGGGTCCTCCCGCACCAGGGCTCAAACCCATGTTCCCTGCATTGGCAGGCAGACTCCCAACCACTGCGCCACCAGGGAAGTCCCTTCTGCCCATTTTTTGATGGGGTTGTTCATTTTTTTAATTCTGAGCTGTGTAAGCTGGTTATATATTTTGGAGATTAATCCTTTGTCTGTTGAGTCGTTTGCAAATATTTTCTCCCATTCTGAGGATTGTCTTTTCGTCTTGTTTATGGTTTCCTTTGCTGTGCAAAAGCTTTGAAGTTTCATTAGGTCCCATTTGTTTATTTTTATTTCCATTACTCTAGGGGGTGGGTCAAAAAATATCTTGCTGTGATTTATGTCAAAGGGTGTTCTTCCTGTGTTTTATAGTGTCCAGTCTTACATTTAGGTCTTTAATCCATTTTGAGTTTATTTTTGTGTATGATGCTAGGGAGTGTTCTAATTTCATTCTTTTACATGTAGCTGTCCAGTTTTCCCAGCACCACTTACTGAAGAGACAGTCTTTTTTCCATTGTATATCCTTGCCTCCCTTATCAAAGATAAGGTGACCATGTGTGTGTGGGTTTATCTCTCGGCTTTCTATCCTGTTCCACTGATCTATATTTGTTATCTATAATTGTGCCAGTACCATATTGTCTTGATTACTGTAGCTTTGTAGTATAGTCTGAAGTCAGGGAGTCTGATCCCTCCAGCTCCGTTTTTTTCCCTCAAGATTGCTTTGGCTATTCGGGGTCTTTTGAGGCTCCATACAAATTTTAAGTTTTTTTTGTTCTAGTTCTGTAAAAAATGCCATTGGTAATTTGATAGGGGTTGCATTGAATCTGTAGATTGCTTTGGGTAGTATAGACATTTTCACAATATTGATTCTTCCAATCCAAGAACATGGTATATCTCTCCATCTGTTTGTGTCATCTTTGATTTCTTTCATCAGTGTCTTATAGTTTTCTGAGTATGGGTCTTTTACCTCCTTAGGTAGGTTTATTCCTAGGTATTTTATTCTTTTTGTTGCAATGGTGAATGGGATTGTTTCCTTAATTTCTCTTTCTGATCTTTCATTGTTACTGTATAGGAATGCAAGAGATTTCTGTGCATTAATTTTGTATCCTGCAACTTTACCAGATTCATTGATTAGCTCTAGTAGTTTTCTGGTGGCATCTTTAGGACTCTCTCTATATAGTATCATGTCATCTGCAAACAGTGACAGTTTTACTTCTTCTTTTCCAATTTGTATTCCTCTTATATCTTTTTCTTCTCTGATTGCTGTGGCTAGGACTTCCAAAACTATGTTGAATAATAGTGGTGAAAGGGGGCATCCTTGTCTCGTTCCTGATCTTAGAGGAAATGCTTTCAGCTTTTCACCATTGAGAATGATGTTTGCTGTGGGTTTGTCATATATGGCCTTTATTATGTTGAGGTAGGTTCCCTCTATGCCCACTTTCTGGAGAGTTTTTATCATAAATGGGTGTTGAATTTTGTCAAAAGCTTTTTCTGCATCTATTGAGATGATCGTATGGTTTTTCTCCTTCAATTTGTTAATATGGTGCATCATGTTGATTGGTTTGCGTATATTGAAGAATCCTTGCATCCCTGGGATAATTTCCACTTGATCATGGTATATGATACTTTTAATGTGTTGTTGGATTCTGTTTGCTAGTATTTTGTTGAGGATATTTTTTTTGCGGTACGCGGGCCTCTCACTCTTGTGGCCTCTCCCGTTGCGGAGCACAGGCTCCGGACGCGCAGGCTCAGCGGCCATGGCTCACGGGCCCAGCCGCTCCACAGCATGTGGGATCTTCTCGGACCGGGGCATGAACCCGTGTCCCCTGCATCGGCAGGCGGACTCTCAACCACTGCGCCACCAGGGAAGCCCGGAATGGTGTTTTTAAAAAGCTCCCCGGCGACTGGATTGTGTGGGTGAGGATGAGGCCCCAGACACCCCATTTACCTTTGTTGTAACAAGCTCTGTGAAAGCTCTGTGGGGTCACCCCCAGGTTTTAATGGGGGAAATCGAGCTCGCTGGAGAGGTGGGGAGCAGGAAAGGCAGAGCAAGCAGGAAGCCCACCTGGATTGCAGGCCATCCTCTGGGGCCGTGCAGCCTTTGCTTCTTCCTCTGTGATGTGTGCAGTTGAAGACAAGTTGTAGCCTCAGGGCGAAAACCCAAAGTCCTGAACTTTACACTTGAGTGAGAAATCTTACAGTATAAGGACCTGCAGTTTTACTTTGATGGAAACTCTGCCCCAAAGGCACCTGCTCAGACGTCCTGCAGCTTCTGAGGGTGGTGTTCCCAGCTATGGAAGGAAGGACAGTATTGATAATTGGAGGGGCGTCTCCGGGTTGGGACTTGGGGGAGAGGGAGAGAGCAGCCATGTGTCAACTGTGCACAGGCCGTCCATTTCCACAGGGACTTCGGGACGGAGAAAGGCCAGTGTCCAGAGGGGCCTTGCGGGAGGAGAAAGGACCGCAGGGCCCTGAGCCAGACCCCACCCGCCCCACGGTGACATCCTGTCCCAAAAAGAGCCCCAAGAGCAAGCGGGTGATTCCATCTCCTCTTTCATGGTGATGGAGGGCCTTCCTCTGTGTGCACAGAAGTCTTTGTCTCGCGGTAGATGTTCTGCTTTGTACGTTATTTTTAATATCTGGCGTTAGCCCTGGGACAGCGAGATTCTCCTGGGGACCACGCGGAGCCTGGGCAGAGAAACCATAAACACACGGAGAGGAAAGACGTTGATCTCAGCCCTCAAAGCCACGGTACAGAAAACAAACACAGGCGCTGCCCCTCCCCATCCTGAGGGCCGTTGGGTCTGCGGGACCTGTCCCTGTGACTGCAGTTTACGAGTGTGCTGTGCGATTCCTGGCCAGCCTTTAAACTTCAAAGCTTCCTCCCTTTGCTTTTATGTTATTTTCTCGTTTTGCAAAAGTACAGATGTGGGCGCCTGCCCACACACTCTACTTTGTCTGTTCTGTGCCAGCCAGGAATCTGGCCCCTTCCCACGCCGG